GTTTACCAAACATTGAATATTTATAATACTCTGCAAAGACTATAGATGTTATTAGAAAACACTCTACAAGTATTACAGATAGTATTTATCCGAATAGATTCCCAAATGTGAAAACATTGGGAAAACAATCATTTAAATCACGAAATATTGAAACTCTTCGAGAAGCAATTGTTAACTATATCCTGTATACGGAACACTACGATGTTGATCGTTTCTGAAACAATTCTCAAGTGATCGCATGATCATGTCACAGTTGGGTTACATATCAAAGCTGTTACTTAAAAAAAAAAGAAAATAAAATGGTTTTACCTTTCGTTCGCTCGACGAGATACAATTTTCCTTTATATATTCGTCTTCGAGAAGACATCAGAATATAATTACCCGTAAGTCTTAATTCGAAGTTGACGGCAATTCAATCTGAAAATAATACTCAGCGCGGCGAGAGAGAGAAGCTCGGTGAGAAAATGAAACGAAAGCGGAAAAGGGAGAGAAAAATACGCGGAGGAAAATTCGGGAGGTAATTCTCGGATTTCTCCGGGCCGGGTTATGGATCCAATGTGATCACCGGCAGAACGTGCTCCTGCTCCAAGTTAATTAACTCGGCAGCTTGTTAATCTCGCGTTGTTCCAACAGGCGGAACCTTTCAATTACAAACGGCCCGCGAAATTCGAGACAACGGCGTGTGGACGTTGAGCGCGGTGGGCCGCATCGGCGGATCGATACGCGCGATCGACCGGACGCGTGCCTGTTGCTCTCGATCTCTCGAAACCTCGCCTTTGTCGGCGAGCTCCCGCGTTTTCGAAAACGCACGCTCGAATTTCCACCAGCGAGACTTCCCACGGACGCGAAATTGTTATTCGGATGAAAACGCCGGTTATTAACGAAACGGGAGGGTGCGGACGATTGGCTGCGGTTGAATTACGAGATAATCGCCCGACGGAGCACGATCATTTTCCATTCTCGCCGTTCTCTGACAATTTTCGGAATTAACGCGCCTCCCGTTGCCGACCACGACGATACAATTTGCCTCGTCGATCTGCGAGGCGTTCTTCTTTCATCTTTTACGATCTTCTTGGCGCCGTTAACTGATTGCGGACCGTAACGAGTGACCAAAATCGTATACAATAATTCGTCGCTTTCTCATTGAACTACCGTCGGTACGGTATCGCTGGATAGAAACGATCGAGAAGCAATAAATGTATTATTTGTTTAAATGTATGATTAAAATTGAGAGAATATTGCAAGTTTTGGAACAGAAGATTCTCGACGTGCGTGGCATCCATTCCAGCGCAAGACCTGCGGTTAAGCATTTTCCCTCGACCATTTTTCTGAATTTTGCTCGTTTTTCTCTTCTTTCTTTTCTATCGTGTCTTTCGGGAGTTTCAATACCCCAACAAATGACTTACTCGTAAAATGAATGTTTTATTCATCATTCATTCGCGCATCATCGCAATTTTGTGTGCTTCTGCAAACAGCGAGCACATAAGCAGACGGGAGGAATTTTTTTCTAACCACTTGTCTTATTCTGTGTAGTAAAGAAAGTAGTAAATTTAATTCACATTGAAGTGGAAACATGAAACGCAAAGGATTCTCGGATCTTCCAGAGAACTGTAATCCCTGCTACCTGAAGACCATAAATGACGCTCATTTGTCAAAAGTAAAGACGGAGATCAAGTGGATTCTGCGAACTATCGGACAAACTGCAGCGCTTTTGAATAAACGTCGAATTGTACAAGTGTATAATTCTGTGATTGTGTATTCTTTGCACGTACGAGGAAGCTTTTGCAATGCTGTTCGCGGAAAGTATCAGCTCGAGCGTTTCTCAGCTAAAAATTGGAAACTCTTCGGAATTGAACTAGCGTCCGTCGTTTCTTTCCGAGCGCTTCAGTGTTTTTTTTACGCGAGCTCATCGAAACGAGACGTTCAAATTTTACAAGATCGTTCCGGAAAACGGTTCCACGGTTCCACGGTTCCCTCACAGGCCACTAAAAACCCTGAGAAGCAGTAAAAACGTTTCTTCGTTCGCGAATCGTGCGGACACCTTCGATAGGTAATTCGAAAGCGATGGCAAGAAACCAAAACTGTACGCAATTCCGACTCGCAAAAAAATTTAATTCATAAATCTTTCTCCCTTTTTTCCTTCATTATTTGAAGTCGCATCAACCACTTGGATTATTGGCGACTTGGAACTAAATCGTACAGTTTACCATAAAGATTTATTATCAATCTTAGAGTTTATTATAAAAGTCTAGGTTATATAGTTAGATTATATAGTATAGTATAGTAGGTCTAGGTTATATAGTTAGGTTATACAAGATTATATAGTTAGTTTTTTTTCTTTTCGTTTTATTTAAGCTTTGGAAACTTCATTTAGTTACAGCTACATCAGTGCAAAATATAAAGAATAGAAATAGAGAAAATATAATATAAAGAATATAAATAGAAAGAATATAATATAAAGAATATAAATAGAGAAAATATAAAGAATATAAACTTTACATATTAAGGCTACAGTCTTCAAGGAAAAACGTGTGGACGCAGTAGCAGACCGGGATATTCGATTTAGCAACTAGTAGTTGACTTTCAGAGGTAAGAAAAATTTATATTTTCTGAGGTTCTTGATAAGTTTAGTCCTTTGAAGATACAGTTAGTTTTAAGACCGATTCTTTGTCCTTTAGGTCGTCATTCAGAGAGGAATGAACTCACGTTCATGTTTCCTGCACTGGGCAATAATATATTCCATCGTCAATCGGATTTTGCACGAATCACAAATTGAAGGATCATCTTTATCGAGGAGATTACCGGTGGGTGAGTTATAATCCTTGGTGTTACAACTTGTTAATTGTCGTTTATTGTTAATTCATAAATCGTCACTCGAAAATATTCAGAAATAAAATCACTTATCGCCTGTTGTAAGTTGCGCTTTCGTCACGATCGCAAAAAAGAAAAAAAAAAAAGAAAGAAAAGATTTAACACCGTAGAGATGAAATATAGAATGTTCGTTTTTTCCTAGTCTAACTGCAATTAGCGTGGACCATTTTTTTTTTCTAACACATTCCCCCCTCAGGAAGATATTAAAAGCACTCTCGGAACGTTTCATATTCGGAAATATTCCCAAGAGGCTTAAAAGCACCGTCATATCTCCGGGTCTTTGCAATCTCTGCAGTTGCACCGTCTCGCTCTCATACCTAATTCCATTTATTTACGAGGTTTCCTAGCGTGAAACCGTCTTGATGAGCAAATCAGCTTGCAGATCCTCGCCTTTGATACTCGGCAAGGCGCAGACGGCCCCGGAAATCGATGAATCACTCCTCGCGAATTTGAATTTTATATAAAGTAATTAAACGTTCATGCCCATATTTACTCTGTGTTAACAAGGGTTGCCTCGATTTTCGTAGCGGGGACGCTTTTAACGGTGCCGCCCCGCACCGGCAGAATCAGATTCATGGGGCCGATTAATATTCATCGTTTCATCGGTTATTTTCCGTGCGACGTTTCGAAAAATCGTTGACGAAATCGTACGAAATTGCCCGACACTCTCCTCCAAGTTTTAACTTTCTCGCGGATCTCTTAACATTTCGAACGCAGCTGCCTTTGTAGATTTTCATCCGCGCTTGCAACTTGATTTAATTAATACTGTCTCGTTACCGTAATTACGTTAATCGAAAATTTCTAATTGGACGGCGAGAGTCTTCGTTCCGATTGTTCGGCAGACACGGGAATTGGAGCGGGATCTTTTGAAAATTCGTTTCGCGTCCGATCGAACTCTTTTGTTCCGCGGTGAGCGCGATTCTTGGCTCGTGAAATCTCGAAGAATAAGACACGATCGAAGTTGGAAAGTTCTCGATCGCGCTGCGAGCGTGAAACATTACAGGGAAACTTTCTTTTCTTTTGTTTTTTTTTTTTGTTTCGAGAAATAACCGATGAACATCGGAAAGTGGAAATAAAATGCAAAAGAGAGAGAGAGAGAGAGAGAGAGAGAGAGAGAGAGAGAGAGAGAGAGAGAGAGAGAGAGAATATTTTAATGGAAGCACGAAGTGTGTAATTAAGAGCATTTTAATCATAATTAAAAGTATCGAGGTTGGTGGTTCGAATTCGTTATTAAAAATATTCCACATCATGATTTCACATCCGTTGGTTTATCATCACGTAATTTATCGTAAATCGTTCCGACGTTTATGCACGTTTATAATATTTTTAATCACATTATTTAATTATAATAAAATTTATCGAATATTTAAATAATGAAATTTCAATTTCATTCCGTCTCTCTACAAATACCAATTAAAATATGAATGAAATCTATTATTGACAGGCGATAAAACGAATTTCCGCGGGCTGTATGAAAGTAACGAGATTAAAGATTTTAATTATATTTCGGGCTTCGAAATTTTATTATATAAATACATACACGCACACAGAATACGGTCGGACGCCGCTGTTAGAGTTTCCCATTTTTATTTGAAACATTGACAGATTGTACGAAGAACCTTTAGAATATACTCCCCGACAAAAAAAAAATAAAAAAATAAAAATATCCAACTGAGTTTCTGTTACGAGCTGTTCAATTTCAGGATTGAATTCGTACCGGATTAGACGAACCTGTCTAATCGATTCTTTTTATTTGAATTACCCATTACCGCTGCTCGTGAAATTCGAGCGAACGAAGCTTCAGTGAAAATCAAGAGTCCCCCTCTTCCCTCTATCTTCTAAATTTGAATTTTCATTTTGTTCTTATTTATATTTCATTGACGGAGCGTCCAATCAATACGTAATACAACTTTTCCCAAAATCGTTAGAAATTCCATTTTCGGACGCGTATGGTGAAATATTTAAAAGTTACGATCGCAATTTAATGAAGACTCACAGACGAGAATATTAAACGAGTGCAAATTGTGTGTATCGGAATGCCGGCGTTTCGATTCATTTGCAATTGTATCAACTGTTAAAATATACGACACAAAGGGCAGCATGCCGTGCAATTTATATGTGAAACTCACCGTTAATAACATGCACGTTGACACTGGCCCTCTCCGCTACAGTGGGCACGCAACTGTAATTCCCAGAGTCGCCTAGCTTTGCATGGGTGATCCTCAATCTGCGATCAGAACGAAAGAACGCTCGCATTAGACAAAATATTGCTACTTGTTATCCGACTTCTCCGTATTGCGGATTAATTTATTACAATCGTGCGATACACTGTGAAATTAATTGCCAGAAACTCTTTGCTTCCTCCTTCGACTCGCGCGTTGCGAGTTTTCATCTTGATACACGTTACTTTCGCCACGCGCGAGTGAAATATATATATATATATATATATATACGTTTTTTGTACAATCAACGCATACATACGTCACAATGTAGCAACAGATTTTTTTTCTTCGCAGCAGGAAACAGTGGAAAATTTCAAATTTCAAATTTTTCGCAGATAAAATAAACGTTGAACAAATGTGAACGAAAAATATCCTGCAACATTTCTGTTGAAAGGTACATTCAGATCGAGTGATGAAATTAACATTATAGTTAAGCATTTAATTTCAAAGTACTATTCCCGACGGTCCCGATCTGCCAATCCTGTTGGTAACTGCAAACGTTGAATAAATGAAAACGAAAAATACTTCTGCAAACATTTCTGTTGAAAGCACATTCAGATCGAATTAGTGAATTAGCACAGTCGCTTGATCTGACTGTCACTCGCGTCCAATCCGATCACACGCCCCCCTAACACGCAAAAACATGTCAGACGCATAAATTTCACGGAGCAATCGCATATGAATGATAGAAATGGCTTTAATTTCGCGAGTGGTTATCGGTACGCGGTTCCGGCGAATGCATGAAATAATTCATGACGAAATTAACAATGAAGCATCGATGATCTAACGGCTATTAATTGCCGATTAATAGCGCTTGCGGTACGATGAAATCTCCCCCGCCCACTTCTGATCGAGCGCCCCCCCCCCCTCTCCCTTCGATACGAAAAATACACGCGTTTCGCGATTCAGTTCCATCGGCCGTTCATCATTTGAAACTTTAATTACTTCACGGTTTAATTCATTAATACCGACTGCCGTAATTACTGTTAAAAGCCACAGGCTGAGTACCGGGTTTCCGGCCGAGCCACGAATAAATCCTGAATAAAATACAGGCGCCTTCCTGCTTCTAAATGATAAAAGAAACCTCGGCGCTTCTGACTTCTATTGTGAATAATTTCGAACACTTTGATCGTTTTCTTTCTTTCTTGTTCTTTTTCTAAATTTTTCGAGAGTTCGAAATAACGAATTTATTTGACTTGTCCGTGGAAATGTTGTACGTCGCGATATGTCGCAAGTTTTCAGACTTACACGGCTGCATTTGAACGATTCTTTGTGAATTTTTTTCTCCGATCGAGGTACGAATGTAAACGCGAGACAATAAACGAATGGCAGCAAGAGGATTCAGCTGACTAGGTACGAAGTTTGGATTTGGCGCGAGCAGGCAACAATAAAAATAAACATCGTCGGATACATCGTTGTCAGACACAGCGGATGTGTCACGTGTCATAGACAAACGCCGTAAAATAAATCCAACGATCCTGTTCGCCTAAAGCGTATTATCCCGGTGGCAGCGTTGTACATCATTCTTCTCAGCCCCGTAATAATGGCCGCCAAATACTTCCCTCCTAGGACGCAACATAATGCCTGGTACACATTGACGTTAAGGGAGCTGCGCGCCGGTTCTAAGTAAAATAAATCGTCCTTTTGGGAGGAATATTGTAGCTCAGTCACGGAAAGTGTACTTTCGTATTTTTGTATCTAGCTGCGGCTAATAGCCATTGATAACTTCCGTCGCGGATAGGTCGGAAAGTGTTATCAACTGTTGGTAACATTTGACCGACGACAAACGTCGTGAAATTGTTCAGAATAATTTATTAGTCGTCGAGTTGATAAAAGCTAACTCTGCGTGAGTGTTTTGTTAAAAAAATTATCTGCAAACTTTGATCGAACAAGGCAACTGGTAGAGCAACGTGTCGTGTCTGACGAATCGTGATTTAATTAATACCTGTCGAACTCGATCAAGAATTTATTTCATTTTTCGTTGGATATCGGAGGATCTCCTATAATTCACGCTAGAAAAATTTACCCCCGGACATTCTATCCTCTGTCTTCATTATCGTTATTTTAACAACGCGTGTTGTTATAGCCAATATTTGCCGAAGTTAAAACGAACGTCGATCAATTATTTGAACGCGAATTTGCGAATAATTAATTCCACGCGCAAATGAATCTCATCAAAACGATGATATTAAAATCACACGAGTGATTTAAGCGATCAGTCGATACCTAGGAACGATAATATTTGAAAGTGAAATCAACGCGCGAAACTTGTGAGAACAAAAAAATCATCAAACGAAATGAAATTTCTTTTCAAATTACGATTCAAAAATACACGTCTGTCTCAAGCCTGAAATCTGAGGGCGAAACTTTCGCGCTGCGAAACGTAATCTAATGGAGTTTGCGACAAAGCGAGGATCGTTTTTCCGAACAATCTGAATCGGTGGAGCGGGAAACGACAGGAAATAACTCCGTGTCAGATGCACTGGCTAGTGTCGTAGCAGGACAGTGGGACTCGGCAAAGAAATTCCGGCAATTCGCTCCCAATAGATTATTGATTGATCATTTGCCCGCGGTAAGTTGTATTTTACTACTTAGCTTCGTGTTAGCGTAGCGTACGAACGTATCGCACCCGGATGGCTAATAACGATCGTTTAAGAGTTTACGTAACAGTGTCCCAGTTGCAGCCGTTGCTACGACTGAACACGCCTTGAGAAATAATTATTTTAATGCTCTCGACTGTGTGTGCCCGAGTCTTAATCAACTTCCCTCCCGCCTCCCCGCCGCCTCCCGGGTAATGGAAACGAATTATAAATGTAACGTGTATTAATTACATTATATATACGTATAATACAATTTTATTATATCATATAAAATAAAAAAAGTAATATTTGCATGTTATATTTTGATTCTAAATGAATTATTAACATTAATAATATAAATAGAATATAATTGTGGTTAAATAATTAATTAAATTAATATTTTATATATTATTATATATAACATATGTTATATATTATTATATTTCATATATTATTATTTATAATTTATTATATAATATTTTTAATAATATATATGTATTTAATATAATATAATTAATAATATATTATTATTTATAATTTATTATATATTTGTATTAAATATGTATATATGATAAAATTAATAAAAAATTCTATACAATTTAACGAAAATTAAATATTAAAAATTAAACTTCGTCGTCGAATTCTCACGATTTCTTTTTTGAACATTGCCGCGTGTGGAAATTTTCTTTGCGCGCCGCCGTGTCGCGTGTGTGATTCATTGGTCGATATCGGATAATTGATGGAACTTTTGTTAAACGAGCGAAACGTGTCCGAGGCTGGATGGACGTGCGAGTAAAGAAATATGTAGTTCAGGGTGTTACAGATATGAGAGTGCCTGAAGTCATGGTGTGAATGAAGAGCGCATGGCCATCGGGGGGTTTGGGCAAACGTGTCTGAGTGTCTCCTAGGAATGTCGCCTAGAAATGTCTGCATCGAGTACGGTAAAAGATAGGGAAATGGAGAGAGAGAGAGCGAGAGAGTGAAAAAGAGAGGAAGAGAAAAAGAGGAAGTTTTCAGTGAAAAGTTTATTGGATAGTTTGATCGAACTTACGTGGCGAGAGATAATCTAATCTATTATTACTCGTTATGTGCGTGTATGTAAAATCTGTTTGTCGAAACACTTTCGCAATATTATTCCCTCGATATTTTTGACACATATGCATTTGGTTAACAGTTGACTTTATACTAGAAATCGCTCTAGAAACGTGCACAAGTGGTAATTGATTAATTACAATGGGCAGAAAGGGAAACAAATGTTAAGATTGAAGATTGAATCTTGAAATTATCTGCGCTCGTGCTCGTTGAAGATGCGTGGAAGGATTGAACTTGAAAATTGGCTCGTGACATTTAGCTTGAACGTGTTACGAAAATAAAAACGGCACTCGACTGTTCAGTCATTAACGCGTTCGTTAAAATTGCAGCTTTCGGCTTGGAATAGTTTAACAACCAAGGGCCAGGCGGAAATTACGATCCCTCGTTTAAAAAATGAGGGGTGTAAAGGGATTACGACTGCCGTAAACTTTTCAAGAGGGAAAAATTAAAGAGGCAAGCGCGAAATAATGTTCGTTCTTGTAAAAATACTCGGATTATACGTGAAACGGTTCAAAATACCATTTCTTAAATTTACGAATTTACGCAAATATCATACGAGTGACATCCAAGTTAAATTTCACTTTTTAATTCTTTTTACGTAACGCAAATTCCCAAATTCTTTTCAATAAGAAGCCAACTATACTAAATTAATATACTTACTTGGAAATATACCATCATCATTGAGAATTTTGAAACTTTGTCCGTAAGAGAGGGATTTTAGAAACAATGTCGATCGTTTAACACTACAAATATCGACGATCAGATAAGAAAATAGCAAAAAAAAAAAAAAAAAATAGTAAATATATACTATTTTTACACCATCTTATAAAATAGTAAAAAAATAATGAATAATAACGGAAAATAGTAAATGTAATAATAAAACATACTTGCAAGTAAATATATTTACATATTTGCAAGTAAAGTATATACAACAGTAAAATGTAATGAAAGAAAATGGTAAAAAATGGGAAAAACTTTGCGCGAGAAAAATTTTTGTGCGAGAAATCGTCGAAATTTCTTACGTCCGTGAATAAATAAATAAATTGGTCAGATGTGGCGTTAAACGCGGGTCAAATAAAATTGGAGGAGCACGAAATATTTCCGCGACAGGTATCGCCGTGTAAGTGTATATCGAACCCGGACTGCCATCACTAATCATAACCTTTTCTCCGATCGCATATTCAGACCGTGCCTTGGCACGTTGTATGATATTCAGCCGGTCCTCGAATAGGATAGGAAACAGGGTACTCCTTTGTCAGGCAGCCCGTGCACCGTGAAGACGCATCGGGCATGCTCTGCATTTCTAGCTGGCCCTTGTCAGCCTCGGCTGGCGTTTCTATGTCGCGGGAATATTGCAGCCTGCAAATGGGCTGCGTCTGTTTTTGGACGTGATTGACGATTGTCAGGCCGGCGTTTCACGTCGACAAATTTACGAGCACCACCGCCCGCCCCTCCCCAGAGGCCTCTCGCAGCCTAATTTCTCAAGAACGAGAAATTCATTCCCCAGTGGCTTCTTCCTAGTTGCGTGCTCGACCCCTCTTACCACTTACTTGATTTGTCTCTCGAGACAAATCTCGGCATCGCGCGGATATCTGCTCTCGTTCGACTCTCGACCGCACGTTTTCGAGATCTCTCGGCGAAAGAATCGAAAGTTTGGGACGGTAGATGTGGAAATACAGCGCTTAACCCTTTCACTGCTAAAGGGTGTATATATACGCCCTCACACGTCTATCAATATATACGAATATACGTAAATATACGCCCTTCATGTTTTTCTTACTGTAACACTGTAACTGTTTTACCAATTGCTTCAACATGGAATTTATCGACCTATGTAACATAGCAACTGTACACCGATATTTCTTTCAATACTGTTCAGTCAGTTGTCTTCACATTGTGCAGTTTTCATTGTTGTTCAGAATTGTCTACACGGAATACTATGCATCAAATGGCAGGATAAGAGAGAAATCTGGATGTTGACCAGCTTGCATTACACTGATATGGTAGACACACATAGAAGGTTAATTACCGAACAAAATTACCGACACAAAAACCGACGTGAAGAGTTCAAGAATATAATCGTTTCATGGGAATTGTCGATAAGACTGATATCGCCATATTAGTACCCTTGAATCAATAAGAAAAAGTTACAAGTGGTACAAAAAATTTTTTTCTCATTTATTAGATGTAAGTATTTAGAACTCATATGTTTTGTATAAATATGTATCAAGTAAAGAATTACCTTTCGCGGAATTTCATTTAAAATTGATCCAACAAGTATTTGGAAAGTATCTACAAACTTCAAATATATATCAAGGGAAAAGGAATAGTGATAATCCATTACGTCTTATTGAAAGGCATTTTCCAATTAAATATTTTAATCCGGCTGCGAAAAGAAAGAATCAAGCGCGAAAGTGTGTGGTATGTACTAAATATAAAATCTGACGGGAAATTAGATATCTAATGCAAAGAATGCGAAGTAGGTTTATGCGTTGATCCATGCTTCAGAATATATCACACATTATTAAATCAATTATTAAATTGTCTCTACTATCTTTATTCGTTTATATTATTTTTGTTCTCATTGTGTTAAAATTGTCAAAATAAATTTGTTCCTCATTATCAATTTTGCATTTTTGTTCACGAATTATTATTGAAGGAATGTGCAAATTAAGTAAATTAAAAATAGCTTAGAAAACCACTTAAAATAGATCAGATGCTGGATATTTTTAATTTATTTGTAATTATGTATTTTTTCAACCTCTGAGAATAGTATCAAATCTCCAGATACTGTTTTGGTCAGTAGTCAGTGGACAATCAGTCGCAACACTTAACAGTAGAATATCGCGCCGTCTGTGCTGATTGTTCGCTCCGAAAGTGCGCCGCAGTGAAAAGGTTAAGAGAGTGAGATATTTTGCCGCCCCTTTTAAAGGAGAACGAAGTTAAAAATAAAGATAATGTTTACGTGAAATCTAGCTAATCTATTACATCTGAATTACGAATTCTGACGCGAACGATGCGGTATTAAAAATTGGTATTTGTTGGATAAATCCAGTTGAGCTCGTTTTTCGGAAATGGCAATAAATTGGCAATTGAGTGAGAATAGTTTCGCTTAAAAAGATTACTTTATATACGAAAGTGTTGAAATCTCCGTTAAATGGGAATATAATGAAAATTGAAATGTTTCATCAAGTTTTTTTACGGTTGATCGAAATATACAGCTCAAAATATCAATTGATATTCAGATTTTCACACTTCGAATCTCGAAACAATTAAAAGATACTAAAAAAAAAAACCGTGGAACAATTAAAAAAACACACACACGAGGGAAAATGTGTTAGTAACGCGAGAGAATGGCGGAGTTGCTATTGTACGTGGATGTTGTTGCCTCTCGCATGATGAATATACTTGTTTCGCTTTTGAAAGTTTCGGTGTAAGTGATTTAGTTTGCTCGTGTCGTGTAGTAACGTGTTGAATAATGTCTGTAGTTTCGATAAGTATATTTAGATGTACCGAGGGGGATTCGGCCCGTTGCAGCGTGTATGGTTGTTTTGTTCTAGTTTTGAGATTGAAAGCTTGTCCATGCTTGGTTTATGCGCTTAACCAGGTAATATGTTGACCAATAACTAATGTCGTTCCGTTCCGAGGGCGGGATTGGGATTGATTCTCCTATCGATGTTGTTTTAATTTTGAAACTAGCTGCATCCTCAATTTCTGCAGTATATTCTGATAATGATCGATGGTCTTGCGGAGTATAATTTCCGATATGGAGTTTGAATCTTTTCTTTTTTTTTTCGATTATTTCTTCCTGGCGGGCTGAAAATCAATAAAAATGGACTGGTCGTACCTTCTTCTGACAATAATAACAATTACGAAGGGAGATACTTCTTCCTCATTCCCATAATTTTCGCCACTAACGAATATATATCGATGCAAACCAGTGAATAAAAAAATGGCACCTTGACGTGAGGGCGTCGCTCCACTCGGTTTCGACGGTGATGCGTGGTTCGCCGTTTACGTCGTTCTCCGAGTGTGGAGACGTCACCACCGGCTTACTACCACGGAACCAAGCCACTGTGCCTAAATCGTGAGGTCCTTGAGACATGAGACAAGTGAGCGTGAGGAGACTGCCGGTTTTCACGTAGATATCCGGCGGGCCGCTTATTCTGGCTCGTGCCTCTGCGAACAAAAATTATTCCCTCCCATTAATCACTCGCCATTACACTCAGACATTATTGCCTAAGTCTTTCAATTCGAACATTTCCGAACGCGTTATTAACGCGATGGAAACTTCGAGAGTATGTAATAATCAGAACTGCGAATCATTATCACTTTAAAGCGCAAAATATAATATAATAAAGCGTGTTTACACCAATCCTTTGAGCGTTCGAAACGATACAGAAAATAATCAGCTTGCTTGCGTGTTGGAAGTTGGACAAAGGCGAATGAACTTTTCGACTTGTTACACGCTTCTCCCACAGTTCGGATGAATGTGTCAATAAAACACTCAAAGGGTTAATGTGTATTTCATATTTCACAGTGCTTATTAAAAATTAGTCGCTCTGTCAACACACGAGCGCGCGCACACCCACCCACCCACAGTTATTAATTATGAAATATTCGATCGTTGCACTGGGCCAATGTCGGTATCGCTCGTCAGCCGTGAATGTCGGTCACGCCTTAAATTTTCAGCGTCGTAACCTGCGCGGAGCGGTTGCGGCGGGGATGAAGCGATAAGAAGGGTTGGGACGTCGAGCCATCGCCGTCAAATAGTCGCTAAATGCCTGCTTTCCAGGCTGTGTCAATTTTAGAAAGGCTATTATCCGATATCCGATGCCGATAAATTATTCATATCGCGGGCGAATCGCGTCGTATGTATAAGCAGCGGGAGCCTCGGTTCAGCTATCCTGGGGATTCGGTTCGACCTACTTTCTGATTAGCACGCGAATGTTTCCTCGCCGGTGTGCATTTATAATGGCCCGCGCGAGTAATTACGCGCGAGTGAAATTGTCGCGAACGCAGAGGAGGGGCAGGTTTCGAAACTTCGAAACGCACCAGGCAACGTTAAATCGTGAATCGAAATTGCAGTCGTGTTGCTGCTCGTACGAAATTCTGCTTCTACGGGAATCAAACACGACTCTCGGGTATTCTCGCGGTTCTTTCGAATCTCGTTTCCACTCGCACGCGAGGATAAGTCTGACAAGTTTATCTATTTATCTACTGGGCTAGTGCCTTCTCTCCGCCAGAACGTTTAGTATGCCGAACGAACGTACGTACGTTGGAATTCCTGGTGAAAATATGAAATTCCATAAATATCTGTAATCCTCCAATAATAGTAAGATATCGCGTGGTAAGGTATCTGGCGCACGAACGAGCACAGACGGGGGTTATGAGGGAATAACCTAGCAGGTTCATCGATTGAACGTAGCCAAGATGCTCCCTCATTCATCATCGTGGCGACGAGGGTGCGAGCACGATGCTATCGCGCGCGCGGAACTCGCGATTACACGAATAATCCGGGCTGGCGTGTACGCGCGTATGTCTCCGGCCCACCGACTATCGGACAAAAGCGCCAGCCCGATAAAAAGATTTCGCCTCCCCCCCCCCCCCTCCCCTCCCGGATTTGCCGCGTGCGACTGGCCGAATAAATGTTTTCACTCTTCGGCTGTGTGATTTATTAGCGCCGTGTGTGCACGCACCGTTGCATCGGCGGCTGTTTTGAAACAAAAGGAACCTGGGGGCGCCCTCCTGTATTCTTTTTTTTTTCTCTTTTCTCTTTCCAGGCGCCTCTGTCCAAGTGTTGTTTAATTATCGTTCGGTATTTCATCTAACGCCGCGTCGTTACGAGCTTTCAGGCGACGCGCATTGTTCTCGTCGGCGAGCTATCGATCGGCGGTGAACGAAAATGTCTCTGCGTTATCGTTCGGGAGATTACTTTTTTTTTCATTCGAACTATCTGAAGACGAAGTTTGTTGACTTTCGTGCAAGTGAAGATCGGCGAATTTGTGTAATTTTGTTATTTGTTTCAACTGTTTTTTGTATTCAAAATTGTTGACATTTAAGAAAATGCTAAATTTCAGTGCCCGATAGACGAGATTCGAAAAAATAAACGTCCAATCCGATCCCGGCGGATTAAAGGATTATAAAATTTCTGAAAAACGAAACGAAACAAAAAACAAAAAAAAAAAAAAAAAAAGAAAAGGATAACAGCGATAAAAGCTTATCGGCGGGTCAACCAAATCACGCGCGAATATTTTCGACACGGCGCGGATTTCGGACAATATGCGCAAAACACCGCGAAATGCAAAAATCGTGGTATTAACGGGGGGGAATTTCATAGGTTGAAATTCAAAGTGAAAATTGATATCGTCGTCGTCGCCACGCGGTATGAAACAGCGTGAATCAGATGCCCGTTATTCTTGCACGAATTTGATATCTCAACAGTGACTAGACACATTCTTCTTCTGTTCGTTCGAAGTCATTGAACTGTTGCCTGATAGAAACCTTCGCTGGTCATGGTAAAATTGATGAGTGCTAAAAAGCCGAAAAAAAAAAAAAGGGAAGGACAAGAATAAACGTGGGAGTGGAAAAATGGTTAAAAAGATAGACGTATCGTTTACAGATAAAAAAGAGCTTACGTAAAAAAGTTCAACAACGATATATTTGAAAATATTCTTCGTTTGTCTCTGAGGAAGAAAAAAAAGAAGAAAAAAAGAGAGAGAGAGAGAGAGAGAGGCAGTTAAAAGCATGAAAGTTTAATAAAACGAATGTTTAAAATTATATTGGAAAATATTGCAAGCTCCGGGAAGAGGACACGAATAAAATGGGAAATAAAGGAAGAGAGATTATTAATTGCAAGAATTGCAATTAAAGACGAAACGTTGAAAAGACAAAGAATTTGAAAATACTGTAACGCTCTTTATTTGTCCGAAAGCCATTCGACACTTCAAAAGTGACAGAGGTGTGAAAGAATGTTGGTAAAAGTTTGCAGCAAAAAAAATATATATGTATATCTCGAGCAATATATTCCTTTTTAATCGACGTTGGTGTTCCACGCGATGTTCGCGCTCTTCAATCTTTCACCCTTTAAAATACCGATCGATGCCGTTCGTGTAAAAACGTAATGTCCATATTGGGACCAGGAAACGCGGCGCGATGCCATTTTTTCGCCCGGTAGGGGAGTGATCGATGGCGCGAAACACATTTTGTCACGTGTTTCATCGGTCTAGCTGCAGATCGTCTCGAATGATTATACCCCGTAAATGATGAGAACCATTAACAAGACGGACAAAACAAATCGTTCGATCGGACAGCTCGTCGAAACAACGTTTCTCGCGTGTTACGTCTACAGAGGAGGGGAAGATCGAGCATCAGCGAAATGAAAGTCTGTGCAAATAGTTCTCGAATTCTCTGCCTCTTCAATGGGATATTTTTTTTTTTTTTTTTTCAAATCGAATAATTGTACCTGCAGTAAAATGGAACAGTTGGAAAAAAGTTAAACTGTAGCTTGTTTGCTGCTGGAAGATATTGGCCGTTTCAGCGATATTCTGCACGAGTTCATAAAGACAAAACGACGCAACGCTGGCTGGATGTAAATTTACTTGCATTCATCTCTGCGGAAGATTGGCCACGCTAATCCTTCGATTATCGTCCGCTGAATATTTCAGAAGAAAAGCCTTGTCGCGAACCTTATCGTAATTTTCGAGACAATGAAGGCAATTTTAATAAAGCTCGCAGGGATCGCTGTAGGTGGTGGAAGAAGCGGCGAGAGAAATATCTTTTATTAGCATTTATGAGTAAATCTTTGATCTCACATTTTGTCTCGCAATCAGACATTGGAAAAAATTAGCTGCAAATGAAGATTGAAAAGTACTAGCATAAATTCTAAACAAAAAAAAAAANAAAATTTCTGTGAAAAGCTCCCAATTCATTTTCATCACTTAAAAAAAAAAAAAAAAAAAAAAAAAAAAAGAAAAATTGCCCCGAAATTTTACAAAAATAAGCGATTTTATTTGGAGCAAGGACTTTTAATGCGATCGAGGAAATCATACGTTTAAATTGAATTAAATACTGAAACTGTAAACGCGCGTTAATGCACCGATCGTCACGAACGAAAAGGAAAAGAAACGGGCTTGGTTTAGTCGAATGTAAATTACAAGATCCATCGATATGAAGGAAGGAGGACGATCCGAGAGGCGGAAGATTTTTCCCCACCGGTTTAATCTTCGCTTAATGCGCGTTTTTATGGGATCGCTCACGCTTAACTGATGTTCGAGAAGGATTAAGAGAGCGGAATCCTACGCGATCAGGCTCGCGAGATACGGCGCAGTTGCAGCCTGGCATTTCATTGAATGATTATCTCCGACCGATCGGTGAATAATCGCGTCGAATTTATTTCCGCGCTGAAATCAAGTCGATTTTACGATGAGAGATGCTAGAGAAGCGTGTAACGCACGACTTTGAAGGTACACTGTTGTCTAAAAGTATCTAAACACTTTTTTTCTCAATTTTATTTTTCAACACCACGCCCATTAGAAATATAGTCGTATAAGAATAAACGCTCGTTAACAAAAAGCTATAATTTTGTCTATTTTAATTCTCCGAGGAAAGTCTATCCTCTTAAAATTTCCCAGTTTTTAATTTCCTGAAACTGTAGAATTCTAATTTGTCTCTCCAATTCTCAAGAAATCGAGCTTCCAACTTTCTTAAAACTGTAAAATTCTAAGTTTTTGTCTCCCCTCTAACTTGTTATTTTCCTTTAAATATTCAGAATCTTCGAATCTTGGCATAGTGGTTTAGACGTGTTCGCGATAACTGACTATTGAATTCCTCCTGTTGCAATAATGCGAAAATTAGTTGAATTAATACCGCAGTAGGTAGGATTAATGCCAGTAATCGTATCGGTATCTTGAATGTAATCGGAGATAAAGTAGTTGGAAACTCAAACAGTTGGCAGTCCCTCAAGGACTGAACAGTTTCAGCAAATATATGTATATAGAGCTACGTTCGGAAACGCTCTGGCATCCGCGTGGCTAAATCTCTTGGACAATAGACCGTCAAATGGTAAACTTGCCCATCAATTAATCGATCGGCTACAAACGATCATTTCGCGATGCTTGATTCGACAATCAGCTTTGCGCATTTAGTCAGACGAGTTAAAAAGAAAGAAGAAGAAATTACAAATTTCGACGGTTCGAAAATTTTCAAGAACCTCAGCTGTGCCAGTATCGAACGATCGTGATAACTTCGTATCGTACAAATCAACGTATTATGTTACGTAGCTGCAAACCACGATTCGGTTTAATTCATTCAAGTGTTCCAGCAAGAAAATACGCAACGCGTGCGAAAAGGAGCAGGGGGATAAAAAGTCGATCGTTCGTTCGTAATTAGATACGAGCGTTACGGTTCGCTCACATGACTAATTTAGAATCGCGTTATTACTTTCCAGAATACATCGTTTTCACGAAATTCAATTACGAATTCAAAGGTAATGTTAATTAAAGTTGCACGCGATCCCCTTCGAATTTCCACGGCTTGTTTTCCAGCACTCGTCGCACATCCGTCCGCCATATATTAATTGCATTTTAATTCAATTTTCATTTCGACGTTATATCGCAAACATATAATTACCACGCGGGAACTCAGAATGACGTTAAATATAAATCAATTCGAGGATATTAAAATATCATTCGTGCGAGTGAGAAGAATTGATCGGCGGGTTTGCTTGGGAAGAGAAGAGAAGAGAGAGAAGAAGAAGAAGAAGAAAAAACAAATTGTCGCATCGTGGAGGAACGTAGCTCGTCCTAGCTCCCGAATGAAATACTTTCCTTGTATCGTGAAAAACAGATAGCGATATCATTTCTTTTCCGTCTTTTTTCTTTTTTTTTCNTTTTTTTTTTTTTTGACATTCTCCGCCCGTGTCAACCGGGAATCTAGGAGACTCTTGCTTTAAAGGGTTAAAAAGAAACAGGGGACAGGTCTTCTTCCTCCTGGTCTTTTCCGGGTCGTATCGCACGACATTATTGCAGCGTGATGTTTCGCCTGAGCTGTTTCTTACGAGAAAGAAATATTCTACTTTTGTAGACACAGCGATTAAATTACATACAGTTGCACGTAAATTTAGAAATATGATTCATTCGAGATCGAGGTGCCTAAAGGTATCAACACTTCGTGAAATAATCTTGCAGAATATTTTAATTATACTTTAGAATATTTTATTTAATTATACTTTAGAATATTTTATTTAATTATACTTTAGAATATTTTATTTGACTCTGTCGAAATAAAAACAATCAAATTAATACAATTGAAGCGTAAAGATATTTGCTTCTTCCGATAGAAAGAAATTAAATTAAAATTAAAAAGAATACAAGATTTTCAGAATTTTAAGGAAATTTAAGGGAAATTTATCGGTTGATACTCAGTTTTGTTTTTTTTTTTTTTTCTAAATTTGAAAGTCCTGGGTATTTGCTGAATATCATTGAGATGAAGAAACGTTTAAATGAAAATCGAAAATCTCTTTGTTAAAATGATTTTAAATCATTTCAAATAAAATAAACGCACGCGATGTTATTCGCTGACTAAAATCCTCGGGGTGAATTTATTATCTCGTATAATTTATTATTGTTGCGCTGGTACTTCGCTGAAGATTTAGGGGCAGCGTACGAACGAAAGTATCCCGGCGGCGTTCGCTCTTGCGTACGTGGATTTTTTAAAAAAATAAACGGCGCGGATGTACGCGTTGAACGACACGATAAAAGTGAAGCAAAGTTGCCAGAGGCTTCCGATTGTCATGTCCAAAAGCGCTTCGAAAACACTGTCAGGCTTCGCGAATGTTTCATCAGGCCAATTTTTTTAATCAACGTCGGTAGCTTTGTGCCTTTTCAGTTGGTCAAACGCACGATTCGACCATTTGACCTAACTATTATCGCGCTCCATATAATTTAGAGCAAGCAAACGATTAATAATTTGTCAAGCTAGGATCCGTTGAATATTTGACGATACTTTGAATATTTTACGTGATTTCGCAGATTATAAATAAATAACATAAAAAAAAAGGCATTCTCTTCTCATTTTAGGCATGTACATATATATATATATATTTTTTTTTTACGAAAATAAGCTTCGTAGAAACTTGCAGAGGGTCTCGCATTAATTAAAAAATATATAATCCCGCTAACAACTTCTCTTTCCTTTTGTTTCCGAATGAAATTGTACGTTATTATTATTGTTGTTTCACTGTCTGTTCTTCAGAGCAGGGGCACACTTTACGGTTGTGCCGGCGGACAATGGCGGAGAAAGGGGAGGGGCTTTAAAAGTGTGAACATCCCCGCGCGCGATGCAAAATTGCGAAGCTCATCGCGAAAAGACTGTTCACCGTGGAAATTTGCAAAGAACCGCTCGTCTGCCTCTAATTGCACTAACTACCATTTCGAGGACAGATTTATGCAGTTTCCAGGTCGAGCTGCCAGTAATAATAATCAGGAACTTTCGCACACGCGAGGCGGCGGAAAACCATGGAATTCGCGGCGAGTGCGTAAACGCGACGAAAAATTACCCCTCCCCCCCTCCGTGTCTGAAATCATTTTCCGCGTGGATAATTAAATATTACACACGTTAGAAACGTGTCAACTTTCCATTGGAACCTATCATGTTCTCACGCTGCGAGTTGATTTACCAACGGGGCGAGTCGTATTAAAATCCAAATTAATTCGTGAAATCCAGTTTCTAGCAATTCGAGCTGACAGTATCTTCTATTTATTTCTGTCAACTGAATTCAATTAAAAGAAAATTTCGACCCACTGTCTCGATGAACTGCAAAACGTGTAATTAGGCTTGCCACGTCTACGTCTACGATCAACCAATCGCAGTGGGGAAAGAGCCAGCCTTGATCCGCTAAGTTTCATCGGAATGAACGTGAAACGAGAAAGAACGTGAAGAAACCCACGTTGCAGAAAAAGGAAAAAAAAAAGAAAAAAAAGAAAGGGAAGACAAAAAGGAAAAAGGAAAGAAGGAACGCGATACCGCTCGTGCCGAGTTTCCAAAAAGAGTTAAAGAAATACAGGATGGGGAGGGGATGAAAGAGGCAGAGGAAAAAGAAGACGACGATGACGAGGGAAGGTAAGCTTTGTAAGCAGCGGCAATGAGCTTACCTGGGGTACT